CATTTCTGGTACCATGAGAACAACCATGCACAAAAGTATGACAACTGGTCTTCCAACAATAATCATAACTCTGGGAGTTTATAATTGTTATTCTTTAGGTCTAGTCCCTTTAAGGGACAAGCCATGCCCACTCCCAGCGACTTCTGACCTCTCTTCTGACCTCTCGCCACCATCTTAACCCCCTTTTCTCTTCCCTCTTTTGGCGTGTGCACATGTGTCTCCTCTATGTCTTTATGTCTCTCTGTCTCTCTGCCTCTTCTTTAAGTAATGAATGTTTAGCTTTATGTTCAGCCTTATGTCTATTTACTATGTCCTGCAAGCCTTTTATCCGCCACCTAGTCACTTGCCCACTTGGATGACTCTCCCAGCCGCATGGCAGGACCAGCCTGTCCAGGACACGCTCCCGCCAGCTCTGCCGCTCGCCACAGGGAACCTGCACCGCTCTAGCCGTCTCTGCCTGAACTAGTGGCTGCAAACACGCCAGCATTATATTTTTTAAAGAACAAAAATAACTCCACAGAAACTTCAGGAATTTGTCGATTACCATTCAGGCTTTCTTATGAGCATTGCTTCTCTGGAAGCATCTGCTCTAATGAACTGTGATTCTCTAAATTGAATTTCTCCCTCAAGCTTATAGGCTATGATTTGCCTTGCCACCTCACTTTATGATGTATCTAAGAAAAATTAATGTTTAGTTTGCTAGGTCAGTTTTTTTTTTCTAGAGTGGTGCCTTTCAAGTTCCTTAAAATTTGGTCCAAAAATCATCAATCTGCAGATGTTCTCAAAATAAAAAATATTTATATTTATTTGAAACTTTCTTGTCAATTTTCATGGTTTACTTCTCTACCATGGTTTCTCTTGTTGTGAGATGTTATTTTAACTAGGTAGGCAAAGATGTGTTGCATTTGTTTATGCTGCGGAATATTACTTTAACTATGTGAAGGTGTGTTACATTTGTTTCTGCTGTCTTTTTAACAATGTAAAGATGTGTTACATTTGTTTGTGTTGCACTTGTTTAATTATGTAAAGATGTGTTGCATGTGGTTCCCTTACCTGCCTAAGGCAACTGATTGATCTAATAAAAAGCTGAATGGCCAATAGCTAAGCAGGTGAGCTGGTAGAGAGAATAAGTAGGAGGAGAAATCTAGGCCAGAAAGAGAAGAAAAATGAAAAGAATAAGGGAGAAAGAGAGGGATGTGCCAGGAGCCAGAAACCGGGCTGCTGCCAGTCAGCCAAACACAGAATAGATATAAGTCTACTTACTTTTACTACACTTGGTTTTTGGAGTTTCATATTTACAAAGAATAATTGTGACAGTATCCCATTGTCCCCATATTCTTAGTGCACACTTTCCCCGGCTGTTTGCACATTATAATGTCATAGTTGTGGCGTTTGACTTTTCCTGGGGGAATGGGAATAAACATCTATTTTCACAGAGCATGAAAAACTGCCCAAAGAAATCATTCCACCCACATCTGCCTTAGTGAGTCAGTGAATTTATTGGAGATACTTATTGGTGCATATGGTAAAAAGCTTGGGTAACTCAAAGGCTGCATGAATAACAGAAAAAAAAAATGCTCTAACATGAGAGACAGCTCAGAAACTCCATCTCTGGAGCTCTTTGCACAAGCTACCAGAGTTCTGCCAGTTGCTGAATGCCAACCCATAGTGATCGCTAAAGCTTCTGTGACCTTAGGGAAAAGCTTTGTGACTCTTGTTTCAAGAGTTTGCTGGGAAGTGTGAGTTTTGCGCATGACTGAGCTTCATTTTATTCACTTTCTGAGTCTTTTGTTTGTAAGATTGCGTGTCTGTGTGTGTGTGTGTGTGTGTGTGTGTGTGTGTGTGTGTGTGTGTGT